TGGCCGATTGTCAGAAAAGATTTTAATAATAAAAATGTAAAACTATTTTTTTTAAATAAAAATGAAATCCTGTTCGTTGGTAATCGCATCAGTACTCGCGTACGGCTGGACCGATTTTTCTATTTTTTTCAAATATACTTAGGTAATAATCCAAAATAGATTTTTATGGAAAGAGAAATCGAAAAAGTTGTCCAAGAAATTGGAAAACGCTTTACTAACCTTGTCGCATTGGTTAGGTATATAATCTTACAGATTATAATATACCTACCTACCTAATAGTAATAGTATGAAATAATTAGTAGAACTATTAGTGCCTACCTACCTACTATTTTGTACATAAATGGTTGCTATTGGTACTCGAGATAATTAGTAAAAGCATGCATCAAATTGTCGGGTTTATGCTCTCGAATAAATAAATAATATCTTAAAACATATATTATTATGAGAGCTGAATATCCATGTTTATAGTTGCTACTTGCTTATATACTCAAAAACTACTTGACCGATTTTGTGGAAATTTCAAATTGTTTTTAGACACACCAGGAAAGTTTTAAAGAGTAGTTTCAACCGCACGTTATTTAATATACATCCAATCCATCACATGGCAATTGTCGATCTCTGTCAAATTAGTTCACAGAGCGAGATACACAGACGCGAATTTACTCGAAGTGTGGTACCTACATTAAAACAAAGATTATACGTACACAGCACTTTATTTTATATTTTCTCGAAGTCGAGTTTTATAGCTAAAAACGGATGTTAGCTTATTTTTTCAAGGTCTATATACCTACTATGTAACTAAAGATATGCACCTAACACATACATGAATTCAGATCACTGTTTTTTGTATAATTTATTTAAATGGTTGATGGTACATGTCTACATATATAATATTGGAACATATTATTCCATATCCATTATACTTTATAGATACTACATAGTATATATTTTATAAAAATAATACATAAAAACCTGACTCCTCTAGTCCCCTGTGCTAGTTATACTGTGGTTATACGCATTAAGCATAACTATAAGATCATATTTCTTCGTAAATCGTAATAAACACTAATCAGTGATCACTATTGCGCAAAATATATTTATACCTATATTGGAATACGGCATAACAATACAGTAGATACTAGATAGTAGATACCAATAATAGCTCCTAAGCGATTTTTAAAAATTTTTTTCATAGTTCTTTGTATTTTATCGAGTTAAGAACAATGATTCAATCAGAATTTGTCGGTCAGATATTATAGTTTCAAAGTTATAACATTTTGAACTCATTTTAACTTTTAAGTATTTCACGTCTAGGTACGCAGATTATTCCATGAATCTGCACAACTCTTCATTTATACATATGTACCTACTTATATTATACATAGGTATCCCAATGGTGAGATGTACATCGTACGAAAACCAATTTTTTTTTTTAGTGTAGGAGGGGGGAAATATTTCAATCCCCCCGCACAACAAACATGACCAAATTACACTACTGTAAGGTACCTATTACGTTAAGAGGACGATATCCATACATTTGTGGTCTCCGTCTTACACACGCACGACACAGTAAATTGTCGTTCACTAGTTTCGATAGTGTGCAGTTAGTTTTGATACTTGAGTGAATTTACCTATTATAAAACTTTTAGGTAGAAACATTATATGTAAGTTGCCGATTTTTCGAAATTTTCATCTTCAAGCAAAATATTTGTATGCGAAATATCAATAATTAAAAATTCTCATACCAGCTATCTCGCTTGAAATTTAAAACATCGAATAAAAGCCAACGCCTTGGCACAGATAATGTTATTATCTATAAAATTGATAATAGGTAAAATTACTCTAATATCAAAACTAACAGCCCACTATAATTGAAACTAGTGAACGAAAATTTGATATGTCGAACGTGACACGTGTGTAAGACGGAGACAACAAATGCATGGGTAGCATCCTCCTAATAAGTGACAGGAATTGTTACTCACATAACAGATGCAAATAAACAATTATAAATTAAATAACACACAATCAATATCTTTACATTTTATTCAATTAATTTTGTTTTTCACGTACAAATATATTAAAATCATCTCTACCTAAAATCACAATTTCGTACAGTAAATTGACTTAGATATACAGTAGGTAGAATAAATATTAACAAAACTCAATATTGCACTACGCTAAATACACAATTTACAACATGAAGTCTGTAGAGTTAAGAGTGCTTTTGTGTGCTAAATAATTAGTTAAACCCAATTTTATAAAGTGAATTTGCAATTATAATATACCTAGTCAATAAATAATAGTGGATGTACCTACAATGTATAAAATAAAATATCATATAGGTTTTTTTCTAACAACAGTATAGTTAAGTAAGATAAATGGCTTATTTTAACTTTAAATGTTAACTCAATAAAGGTAAATTTTAATTTAGGAAAAATAATAACGAAAGAACAATAATAATTAATTATGTTAGTCGAAATACTTGTTTAAATTAATTTTGTTTTCGATAGAAAGTTGGATCCATGTAACTACAAGAGCTCTTGTAGAAAACTACATTGTGACACTAGTGTTATCATACTCACAACAAATGGCTTGACTAGCTCAGAAGGAAATAGGTAAGTAAAAATGTAATAAAGCATTTCAGACTAGAGGATTTAGGATTTTTTTTATTAACTTTTAAATGAAAAAATAGTAACTAGGAGTATGAAAAAAAAATTAAACATTTCAACGAATTGTTGAGATTTGTCTATAAACGTCATATTAAGTAAAAAATTATAATATTCCATATAGTTTTCGTTAAAAATAGATTATAATTTTGTTTATAAGCAAATATATAAACACTTTATTTTGGTTTTAAGTTTTTCTTAGTGATTTGAAGTAATTATTTGTCTATACTAGTTATGATATCCATTTGGTCATAATATAAACCTAACCACAAACCATGTCTTTATGTGTCAAAACTTATGACAACAATTTTGTTTAGTGATCCTATTATTGATACACAAATAAATGTTTTTTATTTTTTTAACATAAATAATTTTCAAAGAAGATTTACTTCACAAATCCTCTTTTTCCAACAACATCACCTTGATTAAATTTATCCGAAAAATATAATACAAGCTTAGCTTACTCTAAATAAACTTAATAGAATAATTTGTTGAAAAAAAAAATACAATTCTTAATATTTCAGATAATTTAACTCGGGTTTTTGGATTATTATTCTAAATGAATACAATTAAAACAAGTTGATAGGAACAAAAAAAATAGTAGGTACATTTAAGTGTGTTTCATGGTAGTTTTTTCAAGATTACCGGAAATAATATGTTCTTTGTGTTCATATTATAGAATATTGTTAAGTACAATTAAAAGGTAATGTAGATTATAACTACATTATTTTTAAGTTGTTAACCTGACATTTAAATATAAACTAATACATACACCATGGGTTTTAAAGTCGTTAAGTAATATTGTAGTACAGTTACAGTGTTTATTTAATGAAATTCCCAAGAATCAAGTTTCTTATTCAATTGATTTTATTGGAATGTTGGACAAAATGATTTCTATGCCTACTTATTAATTCTGTATCAAATTTATCATAATTAGTATTAATCGTTAAGATTTATAGTATTTATTCCCGTATAAAAAATATACTATAAGACACATATGTTTTGGACCAAAATTGGTAGGAAATTGTTATTTCAACAGAAACACAAATTAAAAAATATTTGTTTGAAAACAAAAAATTTCCGAAGAAATGATTGCCTACGTGTATAAATATATTTTACAATATATCAATATTTTTAATTTAAAAATCAACAAAAATCAGGAACTAATGACACTAAACTTTTAAAATTAGGTATTTTTTGAGAAATATTCAACTGTTTTAAAATTATGTTCAGTCATTCTTCTAAAATACATTATTTAGTAGCTAATACTTCACACATGCTCTAAATTATAATTTTAAGTTTGGTAATTTATGAACATCAAAGTAATCTTGTTTGTATTTATTCACAAGGAGTAAAGTAATTTAATTTACTTTAGACTTCATAATGTATTTTATTACTCGGGTTTAGTCATCACTAATTTTTATAAGCTTAAATAATTTTTGGGAGCAATTTAAATAACTTTGAAAAAAAAAGGAATATTTATATGTGAAATTTATAAAAATAAAGAAAAATAAAATATGATTAAATGAGAAAAATATTGAGTAGGAAAAACATTTAAAATATCACAACCTGACCGTGTGTAATTATTATCAACACTAAACTATCCTATTTTTTTTTTTTACATTTTACTATATGTTAATTGTTGTTTATTGTCTGCTATTTACCTATTTATCTTTTTTTATAGTCACTATTTCTGTTTTCTAAACATTTTAGTTTAAAATATTATTTTTTTGATTAAGCTATGAATTTTGCTTAAAAATATCACTAAACATGTTATAAACTGTTTAATTTTAAGCTATCTAAAATATAATATTCTTTTAGTCATATATTTGTTTAACAAATAAAATGTATACTCTTATTATACTTGATTAAAAGCGGTTAACTTGATTATTATTATTTTCTAAACACATTATTAAAACATAAAATATTAAAATATAATCATATAATTTAGGTTTAGGACACAGTTTAGGACAAAATATAATTTTCTATAACTAAGGAATTAAATATTTACTAAAATTGTTTTCCACAAAAAAAAAATTTTCACAAAAAGAAAAAAATTACATACAGTCAATTGAATAGAGGAACAAAACCATTCGATTAAAATAAATAAAATTATGGAACTAAATTAATTAATTAAAATAAAAGTACTTTTATGCTTTGGTCTGATTGTTAGGAGACTAGGAGTACATTAAAACTATTAGGTAGCTTTCTGTTTAACTCAAAAATATTTGAGGCTATAACATCTAGCCAATATAGGCGTGTTAACTTTGTTTCATTTTACCTTCAGAACGAACAGTAGCTGAAGATTACAATTTTTCATTTTTATGCTGTCTTTCAACATGTTGCATTTTGTGTTTTAGTCATGTCTGAATCGCTACTGGTTGTTGATGGTTGCATATTACTTGTCCCAGCTCCCTCTGTGTTAGAAAAATCAACAATAGTTAATCATTATTAAAAAATAAAACTATGGTAAATGTATTTGTTGCTTAAAAACTGTAACACCGATCAATTCAAATAATTAGTATTATGATAAACCTAGTAAACTAACTTCTTAGTTTTTTTTTTTTTTTAATTGGTTAGTCAACAAAATGGTAATATTATGCATAATTGTACACCGCAATCATTTTATGTATTTAAATATTGGTCATAAATTTTATTGTAATCAAATTATTGGAATATTGATATTATATCGAACAATAATTCTTTATGATATTATGTTAGTATGTCTCTTTATCAGTTTCAATGACGTCATACTCAAGTACATGACTGTATTAGAATCACAAACGAGATTAAATTAAAAATATTATAATTAAGTAATATTATATACCTAGATAGTCTAATTATAAAAAGGATCAGTGGTGCCGAACCTATGACCCAAGAGGGGTGACCGCCCCCCTTTTTTCGGTGGGTGGGGTCGTGGGTACCCCTACAAATTATTTATGAATTATTTTCCTAACTCCTAAGCTATTATAATGTATACATATGCAGCATATATGTAAACAGGGGTGGTGGTCCGTATAACTTTTTACTTGCCTCCCCTTTTAAAATATAGTTCGGCGCCACTGTAAAGGATATCTAATTTATTAATTTAATTTAATTATCTCAATTTTGTTTGAATGATGCGTTTTTAATATATCCATTGTACACCTAATCTAATCTGGGAATATAAATATTTTGGTACCTATATTAGTACAATTTTAAATTAAAAATATACAGATAATATTAAGTAATTTCCCTAGTAATTTGATAAGTAATGATACAAAAATTAATATGCCCACAATCTACATGGATAATTTGAGCTCAAAACTCAAACACTATTTGTGGCTATGTTATACTGGTGATTGATGAAAACGCATTATTCATTATTTTGTCGTATTTTAATAAAATCAATTAAGAATTATTTTACCATTTGTTGTAAGAGCTTGTAATCGGTCGGGTAAGTCAGCTGTGGACGTCAGTTTATGTTCACCTAGTATATCTGGTAATGCGTTCCTTCTGCCGGTTCGTCCAGTCGTTAGAAAGTCAGGACTGATATCTATGTATTGCACTTGTGTGACATCTTTATCTTGATTACTTGTCATTTCTGCAGCTACCATCCTCAATGCTAGACATAGGTTAAATCACTATTATAGCAAGATTATTTACCAATTTTATAAGATATAATATTAGAATATAAGCAGAAAATAAATATCATCATTAGAATACTCAGAAATGTGAAATATGCACGATTATTTAAGTAAACCAACTACCTACCTATACGCTTAACGGATGATTGTATCATTATGTATTTAAAGACTACTTATTATTGACAGGTACATAGGTAATATCCATGCATTTTAAGAACTTTTAATACACAAAATAGGAGAAACAATTAACGTAATTGAAGATAAGAAGGTAGAAAGCAATCCAATATGCACAGAATAATATTATTTACTTACAACTATTATTTATACATATATTATGAAATTAGATGTAAAAATATTATTAGTATTACACCTACAATTTTTAAATACCCATTATTCTATCACTATATGTTGGGTTAAAAGCAATATCTAATTTAATGGTATTCTAAACGGGAACATTAGTATTCTGAGTGTTGTCTGTATTGTCCAAGTGAATTTCAAACAGCTAACGGTTAATCTTTTTACCTATGACATCCATCGTTAATCATGCTGAAAAACCGAATCAGAACACTCAAAAGGTTAAAATAAAATGGACAACCACACAAGATAGATACACCACAGAGGCACAAGTGGACATGGAACAAGTAACACATAGGTAAGACAGATTCACCTGATTTATTAAATATATTTTTGCGGTGCTTGCGGAGCGTTATGGACTTGTCACACAGACCGTTGTCGGCTGACTCTGGCGTCATAGTATCGCCGCACGTAGGTACTTGCATCGTTCAACGAAAATCAAGGAGCCCTGTCAGCGGACAGACAACGGACGATGGCGAGGCGTTGGTTACACATTGTGAGCAACGCCGGCCGTCCAACGACGACCGTATCGCTATCGGCCCTATCAACGTCTGGACGTAATCTCGAGGTTAAAAGGCCGACACGCGGGTCAGGCCAAGAGATAATGGTCGTAAATCACGCGAGCGAGCGCATCATTGAATCGGCAGCTGGCCAACGACGAGAGTAGGGGAAATAAAATAAAAAAAACAACCAAAGAATATTATTAAAAAAGGCGAAACGGCGACGATGACGAAATGTTGTAATGTTATTAATGGGACGACGACGAACACCTACAATAGGTAACCGTATAACAACCGACGACTTACGAAAGAGGAGGCGGCGGCACCATCACTCGACCGTCCGTTGCGCGTTACTATAACTTTACATAACAATATCATTGTCGTTTTTTCGAGCGAGTAACGGCCTCGTCGGTACCTATTGTAATTGCTATTATCATTATTATTGTTAAAACATTTATTATCATCGTCGTCGCCGAATTGCTTGCAAGTCGCAGCTGCGTTACTCACCGCTATGACATCGGCAGCGTGCGTGCGTTCCCGGGGCCACAGAGTCTTAACGACGACGCATTTTTCGTGCGTGCGCCGCCGCGTCCTCGAGATTCGTGCAAAGTTGGTGGGCGCGCGTCCGTCGGCCACTCGACGGTCCCCGCTGCGTTATTCCTCGACCTACGCCTGCTGGTCACCCGCCGCACGCACCGAAGAAAGGACTTGAATTCGCGGCGGCAGCGACGACGACGACGATATTTTTTATTGTGATTCGCGAGTCGTGACGGACACGCGAAACGAGAGACGAGACGATGATAATATTATTGTTATTATTATCGCGTACTCGTTATCAGCGAGTATCGAGCGGACGTCACAGTGTTGTAGTCTGTAGAGTAGCTGCGGCTCGGATTACGATCTTTAATAATAATTTTGACACAGATCTTATTGATTCATAGAATACAGAGGACGTGATGTCGCTTGATATTGAGCTACCGGCGCCACTCGAATTCGTCACGAATTAAACGAAAATCCTCCAATAACTCACGAATCGCGATGTCGTCGCGCCGTCGCGGCTGTCGTTTTCGACTTGTCGTCGGCCGTCGTCAGTGTACTGATAAAGTGATAAATGATAATGTCATATTGGGGTCGGTGGCGCGCGCGCAAGTACGTCACGTCGGGTGGGACGCGCAAGGCAGTAGGCAGTGACGTATTTTTGTATTTTTCCCCGACGAGACGATATTAATATTGTCCTTTTACCTTTTTTCCATGGTATAATATTTTCAATATAAATATTAAATAATAAATATCATTAATAGGTAACTAAGATCTTAGTTCATGATAAATATAATATAATAATATAAATTATAAACACACGGTTGGCGGAAAAAATGCCCAGAAAAAATTCAGTCGGACTCTATACGATTGTTCTGTGGTGGTATCAGTAGAGGATTTAAGGGGGGCAGAGGGGCCCAGCATCTAGGTTAATAAATTGGGCTGTTTTTAAATATTTGTAATTTGTGTCGTAACTTGGAAAAATACAAATGATGATACCCCCCCCCCCCCAAACAAAAAAAATTCTAGATCCGCCACTGGTGGCCGGGTGGTATTATATGTAGGTAGCTACTAGTTTTTAATTTTTATACTGTTACTAGCAGACCCGGCGAACTCCGTTTCGCCACCAGATTCGTTTTATGTTTTTTTTCGTTTGGTGATTAAAATATAAAGAAAAAAAATTTTTTTTGTTATATATTTGAAAAGGAAAATATTTATTTCATTTCACAACAGTAATAAATTCATTTCAATTACCTACTAAAATGAAGTGTTATTTAATTGTTTCATTGTAGTGCTCTTTGGTAAACCACATTTTTTGTTTTTTGGTTTGACGTTAACACAAACAAAGCGGATGGTTTCCCAACTCGTGAACACGCAACGTATAACTGTCCATGTGAAAAACAATGATTTTCCAAATTTATCCCGCAAACACTAAGCGATTGGCCTTGCGACTTATTAATTGTCATTGCGAACGCAAGGCGAACTGGGAATTGCAATTGTAGTGTTTGTTCCATGACCTTAGATATAACCTTAAAATATTTGTCAATTGTCATATACTCACACAGTCACTCATGTTATAAGTATGCTTTGTAGTATGCTTTGAAGTTGTTCAGTTCTTTATTATGTTATGTTAAAAATATTAAAAGAACACTTAGTTAAATTGTTTATTGCTAATTTATCATCATCCTACAAATATTACAGCAATCGTTTGAAGTCAAACGGAAGAAGCGTCGCTGCGAATGGATCTGATTCACACATTGCAAAGAAGCTAGTCAATGTTGTCGATGGTGGTCTCTCAGCTCGTTGTGCCGCATTAGCCTCAGTGAAGTAAACTCTTTGGCCATTTTCCAAATGCACTGCTAAATGTACAACTGTGGGATATCTTTCATGAATTTGAAATGACAATAATCGCCACAGTGCTTCATTAGTACTGACGTATCTGCCCATTTGGAAGTTGCTGATTTCGTCATTCACATTTTCCGACGCAATACCAAACACAGCCATGTCGCTGCCTTTTGTGACGTACTTGCACAAATATTTGATTGATTTGGCCGAATGACAACTCTCAACGTTTGCATGTGTTTCGAAAATTCGTGATAGCAGCGGGCAATATGGTACAATGAATTCATTTCCGATCTCAATCTCTTGATTTTGAACTTTAACTTTGATAGTTCGACCGTTATCTTCTTTTGAACGCCGACGATAAACTGGATATCCATCGTTCCCTGTGACTGTTTCAGCAACTAACGGTCGCGGATATCGTTTTGTGCACTTTCCATCAGCCATGCAAGGCGATAATGGATTTAATGCACCGCACGGTCCATGCACCATCTGTGTCGTCACAATGTCGTGTAGACGGGGATCAGTGACTGGATCAGGAATTTCAGCTGATATGATGTCATCCACTTCATTTGAATGTAATTTGTTCAGCAACCAAATTAGGATATGAGCATGCGGTAGTCCACGCTTCTGCCATTCCACCGAGTACATATAACAACGTGTGTCACCAAAAACTCGATACTTAGTAAGCACATCCATCATAACCTTGAGTTTTTGCTGAAATACTCTGGCGATTATGTCATGGCGATCTTGCGGTTTTTGACCTGGTTCCAACTCGCGTTCAATTTCCGTCCACTTCGGATTGCATGTGACCGTAATAAATAAATCCGGAGTTCCATAATTTCGCACGTACGTCATAGCGTCTTGAGCGTATTCGTGCATGTGGCGTGGGCTTCCGATATAAGTTGATGGGAGAACCGTCAGTCGTCCAATATTCTGAACATCACCATCTGAATGAATAGCATCACGCAGGTGTATATAGTCCTCAGATCGTAGCTTTGGCTGATTGAATCTGATGAACGCTAAACGTTCGGTCTCGACTTTGACATACATGTCGACAGCGAATTGCTGGAATAGCCGACCGCACTTCAGAATGACATTCTCCTCATGTGTACGAATCATCATACGATACGCATAGTAATTCATTGCGCTTAGATTTTTATTATTCGTTGATACTCCTGAAAATGCAAAATTAAATGAATTGTTAATGGAAACCAATAAAAGTAATAATGGAAATAATTAGTGTGTGAATATTGTACCTGTAATTGGATCGACCATCTTCAACGTGATGTCGTATCCGTCTTGCCCTTGCCAATAAATGATTGGATATTGTAACGCATCGTACAAACGATGTGTCTCGTTTACACGATGCATGATATTGCTTCTTCGCTGAACGACAATGTCTCGTGATTTAGTTGGATCGCCAACAATAATTGCAGCAACATCATTAACGGTGGGTGCATTGAATCTTCGCACATGTTCACCTGTTGGAGTACAATCCGCTCTTATGACAAATTTGTGCGTATCCGATGGCATTCGTTCCAATGCTGTTTTGAACATATTAACCACAGCATTATTAGCGTGAAAAAATGCTTGCAACTGTTCAATAATTCGTCTCTTTAACTGTTGTGCTCCCTGTATATTGCACCGCACGTTCAGCTGATCCACCATCGACGAAATGAAATATATTTGCAGAAATTGATGCGGTTCATCTGGTGTGGTTGGCACCATTGAACCATGCAAATGATATATTTGACCTTGTATCTGTAATTGCAAATAATCATTAAAATTTGTTCATGAATACATTGTAAATCGTGTGATTGTGTAGTGTGTGGTGTATATGAAGTTGTTATGTGTTGCAATTATGTGTTGGTTATGTGTGTTGTATCTTTTACCTTGCAAGTCGGCATGAAGCCGCCTTCTCGAATGATATTAGCTCCAAAGGAAGTCATGCGAAAGCAGTTATTGTATTCAAGGATGTGTTGAAGAAAATGGCTGGAATCGGGATCACTTCCATCAAACAATGTTTTCAGTGGCTGTGGTGGTGTAAGTAATGGATCCAGTTTGACTTTTCCACTTGCGCAGCACAATCCAACCGTTTCTCTTTTGAACTTTAACGCATTGCAATATCGGCATATAGTCGTCATTCGTCCAATATCAAAATTTTCATCATCACTGTAGTTCGCAGTGGGATCATATTGGAATGCCAAGCGATTGTATGATGCCAATGATCTTCGTGTGCTCACGCGATGTCTCAATCGGTCATTTTCTCTTATTATATTTTGTCTTTCTTCTCTTAAGTTCCTTGAATATACTTGTTGCTGGCTTGCATGTCTTGTGCGGCGGCCGATGTTCGCACGTCGTTCTCTAGGCATTTTGGACTATGGACAGAGTGTTGAATTTAACTTCAAATGCACGATCCACATAATTTACATAATTTATTTTAGCTTAAATGAAATTAACTGAGCAGAGAATAATGACTATCTGTCAAACACTTTATCACGCACCGTTGCTATTGGTTTGAAGTACATGCTATGTATAATAGATGGCGCTGTATGTGAAAAACGATTTCCCCACTTTTCTGTTGAATTTTTCCTGAATTTTCCATAATTTTCTTTGCTATAAACCTCACGGAGCCCAAGACCTTTCCAACGAATGCAAAACCGTGGAAATCGGTTCGTGCGTTCTCGAGTTATAGCGTCAGGGAGGAAAACCGGACTTATTTTTATATAATAGATAGAAGTTAGTGACTTGTGTATTATCATGATTCATGAAAATTAGAGATTAGGAGACCACCACCCACGAATCAAGATATTTAATATAATATTATAATACCCAAACTATTTATGGATACTTAAAAATTGTTTTTTTTCTATGAATGCCAGTAAAAAATGTTTTGCTTTGTCAAAAAGTTTGAAAATGTAATACAAAGTTCTCCATAAATTGTTCATACAATCATACACCAATTAAAAAATATCAAAAATACATTGGTACTATATTTTTGACAAGCATTTAAAGGCTAAAGTTAAAATTTAAGTTTTAACACATCCATTAGGGACAGCAGAAATCTTCAACATTTTCCAACAACATGGCTAAATTAAAAATGTTAAGTACCTAACTGCGATTTTTCACCACTATTTGTTTAAGTATACCTATATAAATATAAGACATAATATCATAGTAGCACCTATCTAGGGGTTTTTTTAGGGTGCAGTAAGACACATTTTTTGCAGTGAGAAAAGTAATTGTTACTTTGTGCAGTGCAAAAAAAGAATTTCAGGATGATGTATTTTATTGTATATCATAAAACAATAATTGAGTAAACTTCAAAATAAAAAAAAATATAGAATTTTTAATTGTAGGTATAGAATAGAATTATCTCTTTTTATATTTACCTACTGCCATTAAGTTGTAGTTTTTTGGACCTAGATAATCCAGGCATTTTTGACCAAACGCTTTTCTAGAATACTCCATTCTGACATCAAATTACCTATTTTATCTTTTAATTATTACATTTTTCATATCCAAAAAGGATTCTAAGTTTTTAATTATATATACAATAGTTATTTAGGTAACACATATTACACATCTAATAACTTAAAGTTTTCTTTAGTTGAACCAAAAAAAATATGTTTTCTTAAAAATATCCTAACAATTTTTCTTTGTAAAAGTTGTAGTACCTAGTCTAGACGAATTTTGATTCAGTCAAAATTATCATTTTGACTATTGTTTGATGTAAAAGTATATTACAAAAATTATAAAGAAATTAGGTACCTAGCCAATTGATTGTTTTTATTTCTATAAATAATTATTATTAAAAATTACTTATTTCAAGTAAATTTTAATTAGTAAGTATCATTACTTATATTTACAAACAAAATATAAAATTATTATTTACAAATCTACAATAAAAATAGTGCATTAATGTAAAATGATTTATTTGGTATATCATGAGAGAGTCGGGATTTATATGTTTTTATATAGGTATCGTTTCTGAGTTAATATATGCACTATGCAGTCTTATGAAAGTAAAAAATTTAGATAGTACAGTATACAGTAGACAGTAGGGTAGTAGGTACTAGGTAGTATAGCAGGCACGGTCCACAGGGGCGGCTCCAGAGACATGATTAGGAGGTGACTAAATCATAATTTTCAGAAAATGTTTATGACTTTTTTTTGTAATTTGGTTTTTAGCAGTATAAAATTGTTTAGAAATACAGCTTTAGGAGGGGGCCCCTCCCCCCTGGAGCCACCCCTGACAGTTATATGAAAGGGTAGGGGATATAAAATTTTTAATAGACATTCAGTATACTAGTATACACGTCATATTATATTCATATTATTTTATTATACAGTGTGTCAGTGTACATCATACAACAAAAAAGGGTATAAATCTAGTTTAGCGGCTCCTCGAAATTTTTTTTTGAAACCTATATTCGTCGAGTTTAGAATGATGATGCAAAAATAATTTTTCAGAAACGATTAGTTTTGAAGTTATAGACTTGCGAAGTTCGCGATTTTCGGTGTTTTTACTCATGCGCGCAACGCTCTATTTTAACGCTCTTATAACGAATTTTTAAATTATTTTTTTCGGAAACATAGTGCTGCTAGCTGTGTAATCACTGCCAACATTATAAGAGCGTTTTACCGAAAAAAAATAGTTTAAAAATTCGTTATAAGAACGTTAAAATATAGAGCGTTGCGCACAGTGGCGTATTTTGAAATTTTTTGTGGGGGGGGGGGTCTAAATATTAGGTACCTACAAGTTTATAATATAAAAAAAACACATACGAGTTACGATGTAATAATTATATTATATTATATTTTTTTCTGGGGGGGGGTCCAGACCCGGGGACCCCCCCCTTAAATACGCCACTGGTTGCGCACTTGAGCGCATGAGTATAAAACACCGAAAATCGAGAACTTCGCAAGTCTATAACTTCAAAACTAATCATTTCCAAAAATTTATTTTTGCACCATAGTTCTAAATTCGTCAAATTACATAGGTTTCAAAAAAAAAAAACCGAAATTTCGAGGAGCCGCATAACTAGATTTGTTCCCAAAAAAGTTATAACTAAAGACGACAGTACGTACGACACTAATATCATTGAGCATAATAGTATAATAGTAATAACAGTATATAGGTTACGTCAGTAAAATTTATCTCGTTATAATTCAATATAGCCTCTGATTTTGACATCTTTCAAAGTGATCAACAGTAATTATTAATAATATTAATAAAATTATATGTAAGTACCTATACTACCTATCCACGGGCGTACTCAGGAATTTTCAATGGGGGGGGGGGGGGTTGAACATTTTGTTTTTTATCACGGGGACTTTGTCACCTCCTTTTTAAAAATATATTAAATATAAACATGGTAATGTACTCTACAGAAAATAAATTTCAAAAATGAAAAATGTTTATTTAATGAACAATATTCCGATTCCGATTGATTAACGTGTTCATGTTTTCTTTTAAGATTATTGTAGGGTTCAATCAGTGTTGTATAGTATTTGAGTAAAAGTAATTGAGTAAAAGTATTCAAATACTTTTTTCGGTATTGAATACTTTTTTAAATACTTTTTATTTTGAAGTATTTGAATGGTATTTTAAATACTTTTTTTTACTATTTAATACTATTTTATTGAATACTTTTATTTAATTTTTTTTATTCTCTAGGAGACAGCTTATTGTC